AATTACATTTGATAGTTAAAATAGCATTGCTCAGACATAATTGGAAACTCTTCAGAACGAATTGAGTAATTTTTTTTTTAATCTAATGCTTTTCTTCTCTCTCATTTCTTGAAATGTCTAGATACTGGCTGCTCTGCAGAAAGATAACCGGGAAATGGAAAAAGGAAGTCCTTCACTGAAACGTTAACGTTGGGTTTGCCTCCAGTGACTCCCAGGAAAAGAGCAAAAGTGGCAAAAGTATTGATTACTGTTTGACATGTATGAGCCCTGCAAATCAAAGTGTTAGTTCAGTTACATTTAGTAGTAGAATAGCCTTAAGGGGGAGAGAAGAAAATCGAGGAGGAGGAGTGAAAAAAAAACAGAAGAAAGGAAATTAGGGGATAAACCCCTTATAAATTAACCCTAGGCTTAGCCTTAAACTTTTAGTGGTATGCGCGTATGCTGTGGAGAGCATTACACATCCTGTACTTCTGATGAGGGCAGTGAAACAAAATAGTATCAAGGGTTTGGGGTTTTTCTGAATTTTTTTCCTTAGCTGTTTTAAAAGACTGAATGTTCAGCAATGTTGGTTGCTTTGACAGCTATTCCCGTTCCATTCTTAGGCAGGATATATTTCCAATACCTGTAACAGTAGCTGGATCTGGATTTTAGATAACTGGTGCTTGAATTCTAAATGATGTAAGGACCATTTCTTTAGAAATGCTTCTGATTTTATAGGATGTGGGTCCCATTTACCAAAGAAATCATGTAGACATAGAACTACATTCCTTTCCTTAATAAGAAAAAGTTAAGTAGAAAGTAAGCTTGGAAGAGAAGTCAAACTAGCAGTGCAAAACTAATTATTCTTCAAGATGCCTTGGAAATTTATTTTCAAATCCAATCTGGATGCATATGGAGGAAATTTCATTCATCAGACTAGATTGTAAACTCAACAAGAGGGTTCTGGTGTTAAGGTGGCATCATTTCCTAATTTGTACTCTCTTTCCTTGAAAGCCAAGGTCACTAAATGCACGTTTCCATGTGTCACTCTCCTGGGGCACTGCTGTTTCACCATGTTCTTGCCTACCACCCACTTACTGTGTGCCATGTGTCCAGTCATGGAGATGAAACTGGACTTAGCAGATAAACTGAGAAATGGTTAAAAGCAATTTTGGTAGCTACTTTAAACCAAGCTTTTCTCACTGGCAGAACTAAGGAGGAAGGGTGGTAGGGGAGAAGTTAATGTTTGCCAGTGTTGCTGCTGAAAAGAAAAGGTTTTGTGGAATCTCCTGAAGCTGCTGTTGATGCCTCAGTGGGAAGGTTATGTGGAGCTGATCCACAGAGTGACAAGTGAAAGAAGTTTATTGGGAAATGTGCCAGACACCATCAGGATGAGTACAAGCTGTCATTTCTGAGCGTTTTATCTGACCTCTAGTACATGAGAGCAAGTTACAGTGGCAGCAAATGGCCATTAAATAAGTCCCTCATACATTGTAGATCCTCTCTGCATTCAGGTGAATGTTGAAGGGCAAATCATGAGTGCCTCTGATTTACAAGAATGTTTATTGCATAGTGTGTAGTGTAAAACCTGTTTTATACTATTGATGATCATTGAAAAGGGAAAGGTAACTGAAGCAATATTTGTGTTAACTGTGAACAGGCGTTACTAAATCCTCCAGCTGTATGGTCAGCGGTTTCCCTGTGCTCTTCAGCTGCTTTATGCTGATTATTTTGGCATTGTCTGAATAAAAACAAGAAGAATAGTTGCACACTGCTCAACTCAACATACAGTGTAAAGGACTGTGGGACATAAAACACTGTCCTTTGGTACAGACATTATTTCTATGAGGGATAATTTGATTGTAATATTAAGAAGAGTGAGAACAAGATTCCCTGGTAAGTGAGGACTCATAATCACTTTGAAAGATGTGTAATGCAAATGCAGCCTGCAAGTCCAATACCTCATTGACCTCTTCTCCTGTCCACTTTGTGTAGCTGGTGTAATGGATGTGGTTTTTGTTGGTCATCCTAATTCCACCACAAGACATCACCTCAGTCATCACTTACTGAAAATAGACATTATGATGTGATAGGAAACATGTTAATTCACTCAGAATTTGTACAGAATTTGTCCTCCAGTGACTGGTACTTGTATGCTCCATTGCTTTGAAGTGCAATAGAAAGCAGGAAGGTCAGTAAGTGTTTTTTAATATTACTTTTTCTATTACTACAACAAATATGCCTTTCCATGAAGAATACGAGAGGCCTACCATCCGAAACATTTGCACTATGCTTTTAAACGGTTTATGGAACACAGAGATCACTTTTTCCTCAATATACATGTTTAGGTGGTACTGTAACTGGCTTTGTGATTTAAGTCTTCATTGCAACTACATTTGTATTTTCTTTTAAAGCAAGTCTCCAAGTGTGGCTCATTTGTCTGGTTAAAAAGCATTTTTTAGCTACTAGGTATCTTGGCAGCCATCGACAGCCTGTTCTTTCTCTCTTCTGAATAAGATGTTGAATGTAACAGTGACAGTGGGCATAGTTGTGGGGAAAAGGCCTGCTGCAACACTTGTGCACTGTTTGTTACTTGCAAATGTAATTACTTTGTTTTGTGATTTGATCTGTTCTTAGAAGTTGTATATATTTTCTAAATGATTTCTTTGTGTATATAAGGTATGTTCTTTAATGAAGAAACAGCAATGCAATAAGGAGCTTTGCACAGTTTATTTTCAAACAAAATACATGTGAAAAAAAATCATCTGCCTAAACATGCAACTATTTCAACTTCTCAATGACTTGATTTGAAGGTAATGCTTGAATTTTGATAAAAACAGAGCTGAGTAGTAATGGCATAGAATTTTTTGCCACTGAGCTTTTTCAAGTTTCTTGCAATATACCAAATCTCTTAATTAGCTTATACAGAAATCTTTAAGAAATTCAGGGAATTACATTAAAAAATTGAAAATATAATTGTTCAGGTACTTGAAAGTATCTGTAACAAGATGCATGAGATTTTCTTTCATGGAGCAAATGTCCCCATCAAGCAACTTTCTTTTCTTCATTTGTTTAAAAAAAAAAAAAAAGGAACTGCTGCAATACATGAAAAGTACCACTGTACATGCAGCAGATCAGAGAAACCAGAAAACTCCAGCCAGCTTTGGGATTCTTTACAATCTGCACTTTATAATAAAGCAGTTTTGCAACTTCGATCTGCAATCAATCAGTAATATTATTTCATTTAGTAAACAATTCCATTTGGAAAAAAAGGTACCTTGTAACAGCTTATTTTTGAATGTTTTAAAACAAGAATGATATATAGAGAAGTGTTGCAACATCTCCTGTACATCATGTTTAAATTGGGTTATGTAGTTACCACGTTTGTTTTGTTTAGATATGTGTATCAAACTGGAACTTTTTTCAACTGTAAATATACGGTTTTGTTAAATAAAGTCATGTAAAGTTATCTTAATCAACTGTTGTCAGTGTAATTCAGTGTAATTCAGATATTAAAACTTCCAATACTAGTCTTTTTCTTCACAGGTGGCTTTAGCAATTTTTGTCTGTTCAAAAAGAGGACTTTGGGCTATTTGCTAATTGAAGGTAGAGGACTTTTGCTGATGATTTGAAGTTCTCATCTTAAAATACCTGTTAAATACCCTGAGACATTTAGAAAATCTGATACTTACTGTGCCTGTGGTTTTATTCCTTTTCATACATCTTTCTCTGGACTAGGCCTGAGGCCTGATAAATGTGTTATGAAAAACAGTTGTAAATATATTTTTCTGTATTTTCAGAGTTCAGGAATGCTTAATACCTTATCCTGGCTTTGTTTCAAAAGAAGAAATCTTAGTTTTTTGCAAGTTTCATAATCACAAAGCATTTTTGTGCTTGAGTTAAAGCAGTGTTGTTTTACAACGCTGACATAGACAGAAGGATCAAATAATAATAAAAGAGGGGAGAGAAGGCAGTGCAACAAGAGTACGTGCAGAACACAGGCAAAGCCTCGGCTGCCATGGTTCTGGTTAACCCAGCAAGCAGCTGTCCCACTTCCTGTCACTGAACTATCTCCTGGTGTTCAGAATTTGTGCGTAAAATCAGATTTGTCCTCTCTAGCACCAAATCGATACTGAAAGAGATTTATATTCTGTCTGTTACAGGAGTTGCGCACATTTGTTCAAAACTAGATTTCGTTTTCTTTGCTTGTTTTCCCAAATAATAATTCCAAGTTTCTTCAGCCATGCCCAGCAAGGAAGGAGGAATTTGCTTTCTGGCTTTCATCTGAACGCCCCTACATGTAGGGGTCAGCCCAGCATAGTGACATTTCTGCGTTTCCAGCTGCTGACTCGGCAGCTCCACAGGACTTTTCCTGAAAGTCCTGAAGTGGTGTTCCAGTTCCAAGCACCCCACGTTTCTGCTGCAGTGTCAGGTTGTTTCTCCACAGGCTTTCAGGCTGTTTCTCGGCCCGGCTTTGTTTTGGTCAGGACATGGCTCTGCTCTGACACATGACACCCATCAGTTCAGTCTTTTCACCTTGGCTTTCAGCTTCCCTTAACTCGTTTTTCATTAACTCGTTTTTCCATGAATTCCATGTTCGATACGTTCTTTTTGATCTTCAGGATTTTATGGCAGACAGCGGAGCTCTTTCATCACGTGCTCGCAGTCCATGGAGCGCCGAGCAGTCACGGTGGTTCCAACAGCTTGCATTTCACGCCTCAGCCTGATGTTTTCAGCGTGGGCCGAGAGGAGTACAACTAAAAGAAGAATGGCTCAATTTCTTTAATCCTCCCTGCCCGGGGAAGCGGCGCTTCCCTTTGGAATGTCCCGACAACGTCGAGGCTCCTCCCGCGGGCCGGGCCCGGCCCCGCTTCCCCCGTTGCCGGGCACCCGCCGGGCCCCGCCCCCTGCTCGCGCGCGGCCCCGCCCCATGGCGGGCGGGCCGCGGCCCCGCCTACCGAGCGCGCTGCCATTGGCGGCGCGGGCGCCGGGGGCGCGGCCGCGCGCGCGCGCGGGCGGGGTAAGATGGCGGAACTGGGGAAGAAGTACTGCGTGTACTGCCTGGCCGAGGTGAGCCCGCTGCGCTTCCGCTGCACCGAGTGCGCCGACATCGAGCTCTGCCCCGAGTGCTTCTCGGCGGGCGCCGAGATCGGCCCGCACCGCCGATGGCACGGCTACCAGCTGGTGGACGGCGGCCGCTTCACCCTCTGGGGCGCCGAGGCCGAGGGCGGCTGGAGCAGCCGCGAGGAGCAGCTGCTGCTGGACGCCATCGAGCAGTTCGGCTTCGGCAACTGGGTAAGGGGCGAGGGGCGGGGGCGGGGGCGATCCTCCTGCTCGGAGCAGCGGCCCTGACACGGCCCCGGGGCGCGTCCTGCCCGCGGACCCCGGGCTGCCCCTGTCCCCGGGCGGGCTCCCGCTGCTCCCAGGAGCGCAGCCCGGACCTGCCGCTGAGGGAGTTCTGCGTTTGCCTCCCCCAGCCCGTCCGTGTCACAGCCCTTGCGGCTGCTCTTAGCCCTGCTCGGCCTTTGCCGTCGGTACCTCCCAGCTGCGGGCTGGCTGCTCGCCTGCAGTGTCCCTGCACAGCCAGACCTGTTTGAAAAGCAGCAGTAAGAAAGCATCCCGCGGTCACAGAATGGGGCGGGTCGGAAAGGACTCCAGCGGGTCATCCCGGAGCACTTCGCACAGAATTACATCCAGCCGGGTCTTGGCTGTTTCCGGTGAGGGAGGCTCCACAGCCTCCTTGGGCAGTCTGTCCCAGTGCTCGGTCACCTGCACAGTGAAGAAGTTCATCCTCCTGTACGTGTGGGACTTCCTGTGCATCAGTTTCTGCTTGTTAGCTCTTGTCCTGTTGCTTGGCACCACAGAGCAGAGCCTGGTCCATGTGACACCTCCCTTCAGACACTGATGGACTTTGGTGATGTCCCCCCTTGGTTGTCCCTTCTTGAGGCTGAACAAGCCCAACTCCCTCAGCCTGTCCTTTAAAGAGGAATGCTCCAGTCCCCCAGTCATCCTCATTGCCCTCTGCTGGACCATTTGATTCATTTTTGATTGATTTGATTTGTTGTTACTTATATTTTGCTTCATTAAATGTACAGACTTTTTAAAAACCTCAAAGTGTACAATCTTTGCAGCTTGCTTGGTTTTTAAATAACTAGAAAACAATAAAAGTTGTTACTCTTACAGTAAATACTCTTTGTTTCCACATTGCTCCTCAGCAATGTGATATAAAGAAGCAAAACCCAAACCTATTGGTACAGTTGGCTTGGGACTTGGAAAGCTTGGAAAGCTGGTTATGGTGAGCTGGTTTTGTGGGAGTGCCGTGGGTGCTCAGGAATCACCGTGTGGTGCTGTTTTCGTGGCTTACCTGCCTCCGTGCACTGCAAACGCTCATCCAGAGCTGAAATCACTGATCTGATAGAAACGGGGCCGGTATTGCCAGAGAAGTTTAGGTACTGGGAGTTGGCTTCTGAGGAGCAAGGAAAAATTCCTGCTCTTTCCCGAGCGCTCATTGTGCTGCGGACGTAATGGGAATGGTTTCATCACCCCTCCTTTTGTTCCGTTTAGGAGGACATGGCTGCTCACGTGGGCGCATCCCGAACGCCTCAGGAGGTGATGGAACACTACGTGAGCATGTACATCCACGGCAACCTGGGAAAGGCCTGCATCCCTGACACCATTCCCAACAGGGTGACGGACCACACGTGTCCCAGCGGCGGCCCGCTGTCCCCCAGCCTGACGACGCCGCTGCCGCCGCTGGACATCTCGGTGGCGGAGCAGCAGCAGCTGGGCTACATGCCGCTGCGCGACGACTACGAGATCGAGTACGACCAGGACGCCGAGACGCTCATCAGCGGCCTCTCGGTCAACTACGACGACGACGACGTGGAGATCGAGTTGAAAAGGGCTCACGTGGACATGTACGTGAGGAAACTCAAGGAGAGGCAGCGGCGGAAGAACATCGCGCGAGACTATAATTTGGTACCGGCCTTCCTGGGGAAGGATAAAAAGGACAAGGAGAAAGCTCCCAAAAGGAAGATCACAAAAGAAGAGAAGGAGCTGAGGCTGAAACTGAGGCCTTTGTACCAGTTCATGTCTTGTAAGGAGTTTGAAGACTTCTTTGAGAACATGCACAAGGAGAGGATACTCCGAGCGAAGATTCGGGAGCTGCAGCGGTATCGGCGAAATGGGATCACCAAAATGGAGGAGTCGGCGGAGTACGAGGCGGCCCGGCACAAACGGGAAAAGAGGAAGGAGAACAAGAACATAGCTAGTTCCAAGAGAGGGAAGGAAGAGGGGAAAGAAGGTGAATTTGCTGCCATTGAAAACCTGCCTGGCTTTGAACTCTTATCGGACAGGGAAAAGGTGCTCTGCAGCTCTCTGAACTTGAGTCCTGCACGTTACGTGACTGTAAAAACTATCATCATTAAAGACCATCTCCAAAAAAGACAAGGAATTCCTTCAAAGAGTCGCCTTCCCAGTTACTTAGATAAGGTACTGAAGAAAAGGATTTTAAACTTTCTGACAGAAAGCGGTTGGATATCCAGGGATGCTTCATGAAACTCAGCCGATCTGAAAACACACAGCAGAGGCCCATTACAGCCTCAAGGACTCCGTTATTTTTTCCTTCCCTCCCCAAAGATACAGAAACAGTGTCGCTTAAAAACACAAAAGAGCAAATACATAAACCTCCACAGTCATCATGATCCATGGTGGTTTAAGTAGACTTTTGCTTTGGATCATGGAAAATACTCAATTGTGAAACTTTTACATTGGATTTCACTGCTTTTGGTACATTCTTAGAACAGATTTTTTCATGTGAACTTACTCAAGTCCGGTAGTCCCAGAGTAGTTGCTTTAGTCCGTACTGTTGGATAAATGAATATCAGTGTAATCCTTGCTTTTCTTTGAAGGTAGGAGATAGTTTCATTCACTGGAAACTTTCTTCACCCTTTGTTTTGTTTTTTGTTTTTTTTGGCATAATGCTGGCAGCAAAGTGAAGCTTACAAAAGTCCTGTGCTCATGAACAGGTGAGCAGGGACTTTTGTGACCAGTGCTAAGCTTTTGGAACATTCTCCTTAGTAACTATATCCAAACAGTGGGGACAGCGGGATGAGAGTTCCTGTCGAGACTACAACAGGGGTGAGCCGTGGCAGGGAGTGCAAGGAAGGAAGGAAGGAAATGTGGTAGGTGAGATGCCTCCAGGGACTTGTGCTGTGGAGGGGGGTTCTTGAAGAGCTCCCAGCTGATCTGGGCATTGTTTTGACCTGAGTTTCCTGAAACAGACCCTTCTGAAGAGTTGATGTTTCCTGCTTGGTACTGGAGTGTCAGGAATCCCCAGCAGCTGTGGTGCTGTGCTCCAGAGGAGGGGTCAGCTACAGCAAGGTCCTGATTTGGGCCAGAAATGGCATTTTGGAGAATAGGCAGTGAAGTGTTTGGCAGAAGTTGAGAGCCTCAGGCAGCAAAATCACTGTTTTTCCTTGTTGGGGGAGCCTGCTGCTCCTCCTTTGGGATCTTACTGCTGAGCTCATAGCGGCTGAGGAGGTGTAGCTATCTCCTGAATTTCCTTGGGAAGTCAGGGAAAGGGAAGAAGATTCTCAAATAGGGCATGCTGAGATTGGCCTTTAAAAACAAAAATAACAATTGATGCAGATTTGATCAAAATGCACAAAGCATTCCCTAAGTGGAGTGCTTAACCCAGCCACTGTAGGGTTCTAATTGCACGTGCCTTGAAATGCACCAGCCCAGGCACATTGAATCTGAGTTCAGTGACAGCTACAAGAGCAGTGCACCTTGGGAGGGATCTCCTCCCGTTCTGACAGCTGCTGCCTGGAGTGCTGCTGGAGCCTGGCACCAGCTGGGATGTGACACAGCGGGAAACAAATGCCCAACCCACAGTGCTGGTCTAGTAAGATGTATTGGTTAAGGGAAAGATGGTGAAGGAGGATTAGAAAACTATTATTAAACTCATTTCGTCCTTCAATTCCCTGCTGGTATTTAACCAAATGAATAAAAACCAGTGGTTGCCATATGGAAATGGCACAGTTACTTGTGCCTGAGCCTCTCTGCTGGTCGTGTCTGGAGCAGGAAGCTGTGACTGGAGGCAGGCTGGGCAGGTCTGCTAGAGTGCAGGTATACCAAACTTGGAACCTGACTGGCTTCAATATGAGTGCAAGATCTGGAAATGTCATCTTGCTTTGATGCTTTGGGCTGTAGTCAGTGAGGATTCCACAAAATCTTAAAACAGTATTAATTCTGCAGTTTGGCAGAGGTATTCTGATCAGAACTGGGTTTCATTTAATACATCCAGCATTACCAAACTGGTGTTACCAGTGAGTTTAGCATAAAAGGGGTACAATTACAAAGCCAGCATTTCTAAGGAAAAAAACCCAAAACTCTAGTGCCTTTTTCTTTTGAGCTTATGTTCTGTCCCTTCAAAAAAGGTAAGGGCTATGTTCTCTGGGATGTAATACTTTGTTTGGCTTATCTGTAAGTGGTTTGTTGTGGCATATTCGAGACAAAATTGTCTCTTCTTGGCAGCAGTGGAGCTAACTGCAATGTGCTGAGTAGCTTTAATAACCACTTCCACCTATATGCATGTAGAAGCAGCACACAAGTTCGTAAGGTATAAACCCTTGGTTATTTTCTCTGTCCTACTCCTGTGGGAAGGAAGCTCAGTCTTTCTTTTTAGCATTCTAGTTATGCAATTTGGTTCTTCTGTAACTTGTTACTGAACTGCCATAACATGCTGTTTTGGAAGGCTCAATTCTGCATGTAGCTGGGAGTTTAAGAGAATTGTTTTGGTTTTGGTTCTTCTGGGTTTTTTTTCCCATAAAATCTGTGATTTTCATATTTCTACACTGTTTTGGCACATCTAAGTTAAACTGAAGCAATAGCATAAAGCCCATCTGAACAATAACTTAGGAAAAAATCTAGGCACCAATGAGTCATTTAAACGTTGAAGTGAATTCTGCATTTACACTTTGTAGCTTCTTAATTCCTCAACCCCTCCAAAATGTTTCTTTGGTGCTAGATGTAACTTATTGAACATCAAAATGAATGTAAAATAAAAGTATTTTTAATGTATGCAATATGGATATCAATATTTATTTTGTACTTGCAAGCTAACTCAAGGTGGTAAATGTTTGCTTTAGCAAATATTAGTCCCTTGGAACGGGCTTCCCTAGAAGCAATGTCTCGTTTTCAGCTATGCTTTTAATTTTAAAGGTGACTTGCACTAGAGGATGCTGCTGTTCCATATTTCACATGGAACTGATTTAGTCTAAGCATTCCTTTGTTAAGAGCTGCTGGTTTTCTGTTTGATTGCTTATAAATTGAGATGCAGTTAATGTTAATCCAGCAATTTACTACAGCTATGCTGCTTCTCTTCTGTGGTGAAGGGGCTGAGATGGCAAAGAGCTCTTTCAACTTGTATTTTGTGTTGATCTGGAAGTGCTTCCTGTACTGTACAAATAATCCAGCCTTCATGTTGCTAATGACAAGGTGTTTTATATGCTTAATGCTCTTGACTTTTCTAATTAAAGTTATTACTAATGATAGTATCTGTCTTAACAGCATTGATGTAAGCCTATGGGAAAGCAACACTCTCTAACCTGTTGAAAATTCTGATCTTGTGCTCTGGGTGGGGGCTGTGCTGTGTTGGAGGTCTCCATCTCACTGTGTGCCCTGCCCAGTGCTGGGCTGGGATGCTGCAGAGTTGTGGCTCCAGCCCCTCCTGCCCCTGCTCATGGCAGGCCCAGCAGGCAGTGAGAACAGTGTCTGCAGGTTTGCACTACTCTGAACTGCCTTGGAGATAAACTGAGCTCTGCCCCGGCCGCTGCATTCCCTTCCTTTGCAACTGGAAGAGGCTTCCTGAACCTTCTGGTTTACTCTTCTCACAAAATATTTTTGCCTGTGCCCCAGTCACTCCTAAGTGATGACACATTAATACTGTGAAGCAAGATACCCTGTGAGCACGTTCAGCTCATCAGCTTCTTTCTTCCTTAAAGGGAATGTTGCATTCATTTGAAGTTTACATTTGTAGCTGTGCCAGACACACAAACGCCTGTGCAGAAATCACACAAAGCCTAACTGCTGTTGTGCACACAGCATTTTACTAGATTTTTGCATTGTGTATTGGTAAATAAACTTGTATTAAAGTTTCTTTCCATGACTGATTTAACAACAATGTAGCTTGGGCAATGAGGAAAATGGCTTAAGTCTTTGCAGTAACAATTGGAGCTGCATTGTAGCTAAATGTGATGGGTGGAAATGTGGTCTGTGAGATTGCTAGTACTGCTGGTAGCTTTGTCGGGTGCTTAAGTTTCAGAACTACCTTCCTTTGTTCCTGGAATCCTTCAGTCCTCCTTCCTGGGTTATGGCAGAGTGCACAGGTGGTTGGAGCTCTCCACAGACTGACCCACTCCAGCTAAAGCCTTTCTGAGGGCAAGGAAGGGGAACCACTTCAATGAGAGACTCAGTTACCAGCTTTAAAGATGACCCTTGTGCTGAACATTAACAGGAGCTTGTGTTTAAGAACACCCCTAATGAATTGGTGTAGTCCAAAAATGACAGTTTGTGTGAAGCACTGGGAAACTCATTAACAAAACCTTCATCTGCTAGGGACCAATGTGCCCCTTGGTTTTAACTCTCTATTACAAAAACTTCTGTATTAAGGACATTATTATTACGTTTCGTTTAGATCCAGAGGGATTGGGAGTCACGGAGCACATGACAGTTCTTTGAAGGTATATAAAATGGAACCTGGTCCCTTTTTGACATCAGTTGTGAGAACAGGTCCCAGTCAAAGTGCAACAAAACCATTTCTTCAATCCTACTTCCCACAACTACGGTGTGCTCTTAAACCCAGAGGGAGGAAAGATACTTCCAAATTCAACTTCAGGATATGGAATCCCCTTTTTCCCCTCTATTTTTTGCATTTTTTTTCCTTGTACTTCATTAGTTTTAAAAAATTAACATTGTAGTTGCCTTCACACATCAAATAATTACACTTCTTCCTCTGCCCAGTTGAAGCATTCTTTCACAGAGTTGAGAAAGAATGAATCCTTAAATATGATTAACATGACTAACCTCCAAACAGTTTTATGCACTTAGGCTGTTCCTGGTTAACTGCTTAATTCCCATGAAGGAAACCAGCACTGGGAAAAATGTCTTAAGGAATGAGTAATGACTTCTCACCATGAGCATGTCCACTGTTCAGTAAGCTTTTGGCACTCTGTATCTGAACCACAAATATAATCAATATTTGATTAATAAACTTTAAGTTAAGAAGCTCCTTAATCCACAATAACCAGAAATATGGTAAAAAATTCAGAAGTACTTACTTTTTACAGGACCTAGTAACTTCCCTAAGTTTGAAGATTCTGTCCTGTGTGTTAACAGAGTGGGCTTTCAGAATACAGGACAGATCCTTTGTCAGTTGTGTAATTTGCCAGGTTCCACCCACTCCTACCCAGGTGACCGGACAAATGTCCTTCAGGTAATCATGTGTTGCATGGAGAAAAGGTCTGGTGCAACCCAATACCCAAGCTGAGTAAATGTAAGAAATAAAGAAAATGAAACTAAGTTCACACTTTTGTTTGAGCCACTTACATGCAATTATTTATAATTCTAAAAGAAATCATGTACCAAACTCTCAGCAACTCACTTCTTTGGGTGTTCTGGCTCTCATCAGGATTGTAACTACAGTTTGTGTAACAAACTGATTGCAAAGCTGGAAGTTACAAGACTATAAAAATTGTTTAAACCAATTTATACAACATTAAATTAAAAATCCAGAGATAGGATAAATTCTATTGGTTCTTCAATGCCATACAAGTATTAGATGGTTTTCTCGATTCAATGTTAGTACAGGACAAAAAGGTTGAACAATTACAAAAGATATCTAATCTCCATTGCCATTTATTTACAGTTCACAATTCACACAGGTTTCAGTTTCAGTTGTTGAGAGATTTTTTAATAGACAAAACAGGGCATTTATCACACCGGTGTGTAAAAGCTGATGGGTGCTTGCAGAAGGAAGGTTATTTGTACTGCACCACCCACTTCTGCAATGTGAGATTCTAGAAAACCAAAGGAAGTGTTTGAACCACTATCTGCATTTTCAATCTACACACAGTGATAAACTTGAAATTGTAACATTCTTGTGAGCGTTTCATTCTTTTCAATTTAATTCACCATCTCAGGAGCAATAGTTATAAAAAAACATTGCCTAATCTAAAGCATTAGAGGGCTTAATGGCTCTTGTAGTTCACACTGAAGAAGAGCTTACGGAACAGTGATGTCCAAGGCCACTAAGCAGGAGAATTTCATCGGTTACTTCATTTTCACTGGGAAACCTCAATCAACTCATTTAAACCTCTCAGGGAGCAGAGGAACGAGGGAAGCATGGTGTGAGAGAAAAACCATCCAGCTGTTTAATAGTTGTATGGCATTTGTAACTCTCAGCTTGAGCAGCTAAGCGTCTTTGACCACCCCCACCAGGGCGGGCCGCAGCGTGCGCCCGTGCAGCTTATAGCCGATCTTGGAAACCAGCGCGACGGTGCCGGGCTCCTGGCCCTCCACGGGAGTGTGGAACAGCGCCTCGTGTTCATAGGGATCGAACTTGGCTCCCACAGGGTTCAGTCTGAGCAGCCCGTGCTTTTTAAACACTTTCTGGATCTGGACTTCTGTCATGACAAGACCTTCGTATAAGCTCTTCAAGTGAGGATTGTCATCTTTAATTTCTTCTTTTGGAACGCTTTCTGTTGCTTTCTCCAAAATGTCTGCAACTTCTAGTAAGTCCTTACAGAAGCTCTGGATCCCTGAAAATGTATAAAGGAAGAGAGAATGGGATTAGTCCACTGAGGGAAACCCCCAACCTCACAACCCCAAAAGCTACAACAATAATCTGCACTCTTTGACTTTTAAGAATATATCTGATACTGTAATCATTTGGGGTAAAATATCCTTTCCAGTTTTGGATGAGAATAAAGAACTATCACAGATACACTGAAATCCAAACCATCTCCTCTACTTCTATGGAAAAAAAAAGTGACTTCAACTTAAAAGAGTTAAGTTAGGCTAATGACCTAACAGTAACTTCTTACCAAAGTTACCAAAACTTTCAGATGGCTTCAAGTAGTTTCCTATGTCTCTCATCACCTAACATTCAAAGCATTACGTTGCCCTATTCCTACCTATTAATCTGATGTCACAAAAAAATTTGCAGAAGACAAAATATGTAATCAGACTGATGAAGATTTCACGAGATGAACAAGGATTCTTCCTTGAATGAAGAGAACTTGCACCTCTCCCTCCTTCTACAAACCTCTTTTACAGAATCAGCAGCTGTGCCTTGCAAATACTGAACTATTTCCAAATTAATCATAGTCCTTGTCCTGAAGCTGTTCTCTGGCTCACACTAAGAGAATCTGGACTAATCTCACTTAAGGCATTAGCAATCAAGAAAAAATTAAAACAGTTCAATAAATTAACACACTTCTGCATAGAGGTAAGCAAAGGACAAACAGCACAGGGTTTTGGTTTGCTTCTTTTTTAAGCCAGATTCAGCCTTTTGAATTCTAGCTCACATTTTGGATGTTTTTTTTTCCTTACCAAGAAGTGATATGACCATTACCAGAGGCCACATCTTTGGTTTAAACAAAACACCCACAACTGTAGAAGCACCCTGCAAGACCTGTGGGGATCAGCTAGTTCTCAGGAAAGGGTCTCTCCAACAACTGCACAACTCTGTAGAGACTCAAGCTCTTTACAGAACAGTAACTAATAATGTCCAAGTAGTTCCAAAAATCTGAAGAAAAACTGTCACAGTTTTAAACTAGAACCTACAGCTGTGATTGGGGCTGAACTGTACCCAATATAGATAAATCAGCTGTCTAGTTATCTGGATCAAACCAAATAACCAAACTCTTCAGAAGCTGGTTTGGTTCGTTTTTTTTTATTACGTACATTATATTTGCAAATATCTGTGACTGCAACTCAGAATTTATGCAAGTCTCAGAAAGGAGTTTCTCCTTTTTCAACAGAACAAGCAGCCATGCACAAGCAGTAGAACTTACAAGTTATATAT